CACTCCAGGTGGTGTTCGGAAGACCATCTCAGGTGCTTGGGATTAAACCCAAGTCAGGCCAAGCGCAAAGCCTTACCCACTGTAGTATCACTCCCGCCCAGATTTCTTTGACATCTGAAACCTACGCCGTTTCATTAGTTTACTTATATCCTGTATATTTCATAGGCGCCTGATAGATATTTCTCCCATTTATTACAAAACTGAATGAACATTCAGAAAAATAAAAGAATATTACAGCCTCCACTTCACCCCCTAGAACTTCACTAATATTTTACTCTCTCTCTCTCTCTCTTTCTCTTGTTTTGGTTTGCTCTTGCATTGGGACTATCCCTTCTCACTGCTCTGGGTCACTCCCAGAGGTGCTCAGGGTACCATGCAGTGCTGGGGATTGAACACAGACTGCCTGAGGTGAAGCATGTGCTCCTGCCCTCTGTGCCAGTATCTCCCAGCCCCGCTTTCACTCACACTTCCCTTGGTCTATCAAACTTTTCATGCTGACGCATCTCAGAGTAAATTTTAGACCTCAGTATCCTTTGCTCCAAATACTTAAGCACATGTGTCACTAACTAGAATTCAATATTTGTTTATAGCGCTCTTTTTTCTGTTAAGTCAATATCTCACAATGAAGTGCACAAATCCTAGGTGTACTTCTTATGACCGTTGACAAATACTAACACTTATCAGCCCAAACTCCTATCAAGATATGAGTTTTTTTCCCACACACAGTTGCTTCCATTTTCCTTGAGTGTGAGTCGTAAATCATTGCTCCTGTTGTTGGAAGGAACCACACACACACACACACGTGTTTGAGTGGAGAGGTGCTTGCCCTCAAGATCTTATCTTGTCTTAAAGTGGTAAAGCAGCTTAGTTGACTGTACTTTGTTTCTGTTTTTGTTGTTGTTGTGGGGCCACACCCCGAAATGCTCAGGGTTTACTCCTGGTTCTGTGCTGAGCTATCAGTCCTTGCAGGGCTCAAGAGACCATATGAAGTAGCTGGGGATTGAACTCATGTCATTGGACCATTGTACTATCACTTCAGCCCCTATTTCGGTTTGTGAAATAGTGGAAGCGAGATACCTTCGGCACATAATCCATTTTGTATGGATACCCTCTGTTTACACACTGACCTTCCTGCCACTTTAAATTACAAAAGCCTTTTGGGGGTTAGTGTGAGGGGGCGGAAAAGTAGAGAAGGAAGTCAGAAACTGTAAGGTCACTTTCCCAGTAGCAGGTACGATGCTGGGAAGCCCAAGGTCTCTAAGAAGGTGACATTGCCCAGGTCTTTAATGCAGTGGTTCTCTTGTCTTTGGGGTGTGGGGTGTAGAGGATACATTCAGCATTCCTGAGGCTAGTCCCAGCTCTCTGCTTGGGGGTCATTACTGGCAATGCTGAGGCTCCATCCCAAGCCTCCTGCTTGCTACGCATGCGCTCTTGCCCGCTGAGCTCTTTCTCCAGCCCTGTTGGTGGATTGGCAGGTGGGAGTTTCGGAGCAACAACTCCGGCAGCTGTTGTAGATCTGATTTGGTGGGAGAGGCTGCAGCTAGCCAGGCTGATCCACACGTGTGGTAGGTCCCGGGGAGAACCCCAGCCATGGCAGGCCAGGCCTATGGTAATGAGAGATGATAGAGCACAAGAGGTAACCTGTGAGGTCTGGGTCCCTGTGGTGAATGAGGATGTTTGGGAAGAGCTGGAATGGCCTCAGTCTCTGAAGGCTTCCAGTGTTGGAACGAGAGGTGTGACTTCGTCAGAGGTTAATACCTAATCTGTGTCCACAAAGAGTTAGATATTTGGAATTTTTTGAGTTAGAAGAGACCTAGATCATCTGAACAAATCTTGAGCAAAATGACAGGCAGAGATTTGTTGACAGTTCCAGGCCTGGGCACCGGACCCCTCTCCTCTCTTCTAGCCCCCGGCCCCCACCTCCAGCCCCCTTGCTCTGCTCTGACTCTCCTTCCGGTTGGTTCTGCTACTGCTGAGGGGCAAGCTTTAGCTAAGGCAGGCTTTGACCTGAAATTACTTCTCAGGAACTTTTCACCCTGAAGAATCTAGAATTCTGGGACCTGTTTTTAGTTGAAATGGCTCAGATAGCTGGCCTCCAGTAAGAAATGACCAGGATTGGGTAAGGATTTGAGTGAGAGTTGGAGACTCCCCAAAAAATGTCTTGGTGGGGGAGTACTCTAGGTAATTGGGGTCTCTGTGGCTTGGCTAATGTCAAAATACCCTTCTGTCCCCTCCAAATTCCCAGCGCAGTTTTGTTTCTTCATTTCTCCCACACAAGCCCGGGGAATCGTCTTCTAAACCAGCCTCCTCTGTCTGTGTAGGTAGCGGTGAGGAGGAGGAACTGTCTGTGAACTGTCTGTGCCCCCACCCTGCAGATTTTCAGGAGGCAGCGAGACTCTCCCACGTCCAGGCTCTGCCCTGTCAAGAGGATTCCTGCTGTCAGGCCCCCCCTCCCACTTGCCGACCCAGCTGCCCAAGGCCCCCCTTTCTCTCTGCCTCTTGGGCCCTAGATTTCTTATCTTTCTGTACCTAGATCCTGTATATGGAGTTGTTTTTTGTTCTGTTTTTGTTCTGGGGCCATACCCAGCAGTGCCCAGGGCTTACTCCTGGCTCTGCACTCAGGGATAATTCCTGGCAAGCTCGGGGACCAGATGGGTGCTGGGGACTGTACCCAGGTCAGCTTTGTGCAAGGCTAGTGTCCTCCCTGCTATACCATTACTCCTGCCTCCAATGCGTGGCACTGAGAAACAAGAGTTCAGAGGAGAACTCTGCTTTACCAGGTAGAAGCTGAGGTCGGCGGGGGGGGGGGGGGGGGGGGGAGGTGGGGGCGTGGGGTGGAGAACAAGGGTACCTGCTAGATCCACAAGAAACCAGTGACTCGACCAGATTTTCCACCTCTTTGGATGTACCCTACAACTAAAGATTTCTTTAACATTGCCCTCAGTCTGATAACCAGCAGCCACGCGGGGCTGTTAATAGCTGCAATGTGGTTAGTCTGAATTGAGACATGCTCTAAATGTAAAATACACACTGGATTTTGAATATGTAACTGGGAAGGGAATGTGAAATAGTTCATTATTGTGTATATGGATTATATGTCGAGATGGCAGAATTTTGGATATACTTTTTATTGGATATATTTACACTTAATAAAAAAATCACTCAAGTTAATTTCATCTGTTTGTTTTTGCTTTTTAAAATACGGCTGCTTGAAAATCTTGTTTTTGGCAGTGGGGTGTGGTGGTGGGGGTCACAACCCCCCTGTGCTGGGGCTGCTTGGGGCTTGGTGCTTAGAGATTGTTCTCAGCAGTATTTGAGGGATGGGAATTGAGATACTTTTTTTGTGGTTTATTTGTTTTGGGGCCATATCCAGTGGTTTAGTGCTCAGGGCTTACTGTGGGCTTTGCGCTCAGGGATCACTCCTGGCAGTGCACAGGAGACCACAGCCCATGCCAGGGATAGAACTGGAATCAGCTGCGTGCAATGCCAAGTGCCTTAACTGTTTGGGAGGATGGGAATCAAAACCAGAGCTGCACACATGCAAGGCAAGCGCTGTCCCACCGAGCCACTTCCCCACCTGAGAGCATCTTCAATGCAGCACTGCGGTAGAAAGGATCGGGAACCGCATGGGCCAGGGGTCTGGGCAGTGGGAAGCACCAGGACTTGGAAGTTCCTGGCCTGGATGCCTACCTAGTCCTTGTACCAGGATGGGGGGGGTGTCCCACTGAAAAAAGTGGGGAGCCTGGAGGGTCCTGCTAGGTTGAGGAGAGTACGCAGAGAGGAAAACTCTCTCCATTGCCTTCTCAGAGGTCAAGGAGTGAGCTTCTAGGTCCTGTGTCTGGAACACAGGTGGGAGGCCTTCGTGGAAAGAAAGCAACTGCATTTAATTTCTAATTAGGCTGTGTCCTACTTCTGCTTCATGTTCCCTGCTGGTTGGATTAATAAAGGTGCTCTCAACTTCATACCCACTAGGTTTTTCTCTGTCCTCTCCCCTGATTGTATGGGGTGGAGGGTTGGGGATGAGTTGGTGCCCTGGGCACACGTGCCCTGGATCTGGGGGTGTCTTTCAGGAGACCGAAGACTTTTTTCCTGAAGCTATATTTAGGTGTCTGGGGAAAAGGATGTGAGTTTTTCAGGATCCTGTTTATCCAGCAATCCACCCCCACTTCGCAGCTGTCTGTTCAGTGTGTCTGGAACTTCCTTCCCTCCCTCTGTGTTATATTTTGGGTGTCCAGGCCCTGGAAAGAGCAGAGTATTGGCCACCGAGTCCCGGCAGTGGCACTTATTGGTGGCATGACAATTACCTTGTAGTCTTTTGACTCCTGTCATTCTAGTTTGTAAAGTGAAGATAATGCTATCGAAGGGAAGAAGCGAGGTTCCAGTGAGATAGTGTAACTGCCTGCTATTATGCCTGGCACGTGGACTCATTCTCTGGGCACTTCCACCAAGCAGTGGCTAAGGATCCTTTCCTGGGAATGGCAGGTTTGGGTTAGTATCCAGGAGCACAGATGCTGCCTTAATGGACACGTGGTGATGGTGGACAAATCCCTTCCATTACTTCTTTGTATTGGCTTGGGGGACCACACCTGGCAATGTTCCTGGTTCTCTGCTTAGGGGTCTCTCCCAGTAGTAGTGGGAATTAAACCCACGCCTTATGCATGCAAAGCATGAACTCAACCCATTGAGCTATCTTTCTAGCCCTGCATTCAATTCTAAAATAAAACTCTTAAATAAATGAAGTCCAGACTCCCAGGAGATTGGACTCCTAGATGTCTCCTTCACACCTAATTCGGAGAATTTGGAGTCTGGACTTTTACAACCTTATCCAAACTTTTGGGAAATGAGGATAGTGATATCTGTGTTACACAGATTCAGAAATAGGGATAGTACTGTGTTGAGCAGAACCCTAGGCCCTAAACTAGCTCTCAGGTCATTGTGCCCCGTACTGGGAACTGGAGACCCAGGAAGTCTCTGAATAATCTTTCTCTTTCTGTTTGTAGCAGCCAGGTGGGATACAAAGGCCCCAGACTAAGCACTCATAATCCTCTGGGGGTGCCACCCCTGAAAACAGCCCCCCACCATGTTTAACCTCATGAAGAAGGACAAAGACAAAGATGGCGGGCGGAAGGAGAAGAAGGAGAAGAAGGAGAAGAAGGAGCGGATGTCAGCTGCGGAGCTGCGGAGCCTGGAGGAGATGAGCCTGCGCAGGGGCTTCTTCAACCTGAACCGCTCCTCCAAGCGGGAGTCCAAGACGCGCCTGGAGATCTCCAACCCCATCCCCATCAAGGTGGCCAGCGGCTCTGACCTGCACCTGACGGACATCGACTCGGACAGCAACAGGGGCAGCATCATCCTGGACTCGGGGCACCTCAGCACAGCCAGCTCCAGTGATGACCTCAAGGGCGAGGAGGGCAGTTTCCGGGGCTCTGTGCTGCAGCGGGCCTCCAAGTTTGGCTCCCTGGCCAAGCAGAACTCGCAGATGATCGTCAAGCGCTTCTCGTTCTCCCAGCGGAGCCGGGATGAGAGCGCCTCTGAGACCTCCACGCCCTCGGAGCACTCGGCAGCCCCGTCCCCGCAGGTGGAGGTCAGGACTCTGGAGGGACAGCTGGCGCAGCATCCTGGCGCGGGCCTCCCTCGGTCCGGGCCCCGCTCCCGAGTCCCTGAGCTGGTGACCAAAAGGTTCCCCGCTGACCTGCGCTTGCCCGCCGTGGTGCCCCCACCACCCCCTGCCCTCCGGGAGCTAGAGCTGCAACGCCGGCCCACCGGGGACTTCGGCTTCTCCCTGCGTCGCACCACCATGCTGGACCGCAGCCCCGAGGGTCAGGTGTACCGGCGGGTGGTTCACTTTGCGGAGCCTGGGGCGGGTACCAAGGACCTGGGCCTGGGACTGGTGCCAGGGGATCGGCTGGTGGAGATTAACGGGCACAAAGTGGAAAGCAAGTCCCGGGATGAGATCGTGGAGATGATTCGGCAGTCCGGGGACAGCGTGCGGCTCAAGGTGCAGCCCATCCCAGAGCTTAGTGAGCTGAGCCGGAGCTGGCTGCGGAGCTGTGAGGGGCCCCGCAGGGAGCCGGCGGAGGTGAGTGACTCCCTGGGCTGCAGTGAGGGTAGCTGGGCTGGGGGATGCTGGCATCACCTCCCCTGCCCCTTGGCTGGATGACCGGTACCCAGTGCTGCGGTGAAGCTGTGCAAGCATGTATGGGGACACCAGTGCTCGCTGGACTTCGGGGACCACTCATCAGCCTGTGGGGAAGTTCCACATGGGTGTTCTCAGCAAGGGGGGAAATGTATTTGACTCCAGCTTCTGGGCAGAAGGCTGGGTTAGGTCTTTCTTTGGGCACAGTGTTTTCTGAATTCTAACTAGGGGGCATGTGCCACTTGCAGATTTGAGAGACATTCGGGAGTAAAATATAGACTCCCTGTTATTTAGCTTTTCTAGGTTTAAAAAAAAAAAAACATTATTTCGAACCTGGGTTGTTGGTGGACCTTCTGGGATCCATGCCGCTTTGGTCAGTGCCCCTGGAGTGAGGCTGGCCAAGAAAGGGTGCCGATAAGAGCAGGGAAGGGCTAGATCATGGAGGATCGTGTTTATCGTGGTGGTTTAGATTTTAATTCCAGGGGAACCATTGTAAGGGTTGAAACAGGGAAGTGGCCTGTCTGATTCATAAAGATCTGGGGCTCCATGAGTATTATTCACCTCTCCTGGAAGAAGAAAAGCACAGCTCTGAAAAAGAGCTAGAATCAAGCCTGCAGAACTAATGTGACCTCACTATGTCTGAGACCCCAGCTCTCATCCCATGCACTTAAAGGGGGCCAGTTCACAGGGACAGAAGAGACTCAGGTTTTACATTTGAGTGGGTTTCCAGGGGATGGGAGATCACTGGCCCCAGGAGGTGTGATGATTGGCTGGCTCCATTAGCAGTTTGTAATGTTCTGCTTAAACAATACACTTGAGGGGCCAGAGAGACAGTACAGCAGGTAGGGTGCTTGCCTTGCATCAGCTCACCCAGACTTGATTCCCCAAGCTCAGTAGATCACAGAACCAGGAGTAAGCCCTGAGCACAGCTGGGTCTGGCTCTCAAACCAAAAAAATTTAAAAAGTGCCTATGAAGGACAAGTTGGCCGCTGACCTACCTCTCTACCAGAATGTGGGTATTTTAGTACTGTCCAAACCTGGCCGCTGCAGCCTGAATAGCGCACAACCTGGGCAGGCAGGACTGTTTTAGCACTAAGTGACCAGCCAGATGTGTCAGAGTCTAAGTCGGAAATGCTGAGGAAACAGGCAGAGTCCAGCAACGTTTCCCTGGGAGGGGTCCGGGGTGTTCAGGGCTGCCCAGCCCACAGCATATCAGGAGCAGGGGGTCAAACTCTGGCAGGAAGCACGGAAGTTGGGTTCCAGACTTCCTTTATCCCAGGTCTGGATATAGTTGGAGTCAGGCAGCTCAGAAAGGGGGAGTGAGTGGAAGTGAGTTCTGGAATTCAGGGAAGGACTGGACTCATTTTTTCCAAAAACATCCATGGAGCACCACCAGGCTGAGTTGAACATGGGGAGGACTTTGGAGTGTCTTCCTTCCCTCCTTCCTTCCTCCCTCCCTCTCTCCCTTCTTTCTTTCTATCTCTCCTTCTTTCAATCCTTTTTCTTTCCTTTTTTTTCTTATTTTTTCTTTTTAAGGTTTGGGCTACACGTGGCAATGCTCAGAACTTACTCCTGGCTCTGTGCTCAGGGATCACACCTGGCAGGCAAGGGGAACTATATGGGTTACCGGGGATCAGCTGTGTGCAAGGCAAACACCCTACTTGCTCTAGCTCCACTTTTCCTTACCTCCCTTCCCTTTCCTTGTCCCACCCCCTACCCTCCACTGGCCTCACACTTGCAAGACCCATGGTCTACCACTGAGCCACATCCCAGGCCCCCAGGGGAGAAGACCTTAATTTAGGACCAGATCAAACCATGTTGCAATGTCTGTCTGCTTTCTCACAGGCTCACATGGCATTTAACAGATGGAATTTTCTTCTTAAACAATGAGTTCCCTAGAGGCTTGTTGCCAGCTCCCTGCTGAACCACAGACAGGCCTCCCTGGGACCCTGGGGCTGGCATCCCAGATGCTGTTTATAGTGCAGGGATCATCCTGGCATCTCATGTTTCCCAGCCACCCTCCCTGCCCAGCTAGCTGCTGCTTTGCCGTTCCTGGGTAGTGGGTGGTTTAGGTTGGGAGGCCCTGGTAGATTCTACATTACAGTTGGTATCCCTGACGTGCTTGCTGGCTTGCTCTGTCCCTCTTGGGAGCAAGCCCAAGGGGCTTGGGGGATGTCTGGAGGATGTCTGGGGAATCTGCCAGAGGGCTCCGGGGAGAACCTATCGTCAGGAGTCTCCTAGAGCTACTTGACAGGACAAGCAGAGGACAGAGAGAAGCCCTGTGTCTCTTCCTCCGGTGGTGGTGGGGCAGCGGAGGGGCGCAGAGAGAGCTGGTGTGGAAGTGCTGCCGCCTCTTCTGAGCCTCTCACCCGCTGTCTCCTTCTCTTCCTCCCACTCCAGTTCCTGCTGCTTTCTTGGCGGGGGTTCTAATCCCCGTTCATGCCAAGGAAGGAATCTTCCCACCTCCTCCAGGCTCCTGGGTGAAGTCCCCTGACAATGCTAGCCCTTCAGAGGCAGCTCTGGGCAGACACCCTACCTGTCCACACATTGCTGGTCCCCCAGGGAGTCCTGGAGGCTCTGACTAGCCACCTGTTCTCTTTTTGCATGTGGGGCAGGGGGCAGGCCCTGAGACTTCTCTCCAGGGCCTGCGTGGAAGGCCCCAGGGAGAGGCAACCCCAGAGGTTCCACTGTCTGTGGGAGTCCACAAAGCATGGCCCATACCTCTTCCCGTGACCCTGTCGCTGCTGGGCCAGGTCCTGGGATCCAGGAGCATGCAGTGCACGTCCTAGCTCCGTCAAGACAGACACAGTCAAGTCCAGTAGGGGGTCATGGTTGCTGGAAGGCTGAGTCGCGCTGCAGGGGAGAGGGGCATACAGGAGTTCCAGCCCCGTGCTGGGAGCCAGAAGAGTGCACTGGCCTCCAGGGGGGTGAATGACAGGGAGGCCTGGAGGGTGGAGAGAGGACATACTTGGGCCGCGTGGGGACAGTGTGCTGGGATTGAGTATTGTCCAAAGCAGCCAGAGAGGCAAGCAGGGACCAGGTCACCAAGGCCGGGGGAAGCCAGACAAAGGAATGTGAACTTTGGCCTAAGAGCACTGAAGCGTTGTGATCTGTGGTTGAGAGGAGCAGATTTGAGAAATTCTGTCTGGCTGATGATGGAGAATGTTTCCAGGTATAGCCAGGAGAACCTTGGAGACAGGTGAAGGTGGACGGGCCTGAAGGCCTGGATCTGGGAGAAAACAGTGGTGCGGGAGAATTGGCCCACCGGGACAGTGGAGATGGGCACAGTAGGGCCTGAGCGATAGTACAGCAGGTAGGGTGCTTGCCTTACATGTGGCCAGCTCGAGTTTGATTCCCAGCATCCCATATGGTCCCCCAAGCACCACCAGGCATAATTCCTGAGCACAGGGCCAGGGACAGCCCTTAAGCGTCACCCATAAATGAGAGAGGAGGGGGGAGAGAGAGAGAGAGAGAGAGAGAGAGAGAGAGAGAGAGAGAGAGAGAGAGAGAGAGAGAGATCGTCATGACCTACAGATGTGGGGAAAGAGGAGGGGGTCACATGTCATTGCCAGCTTAGGGAGAATGTAAATTCTTTCCCCAGCTTCTCAAGGGAGGTATTGGAGGAGGGGAGGAGGACATCAGTTTCGGAACAATTACTATTTTAAGTTTTCCAGAGGCAGAATTCTGTGAGTGTGGTAAGATTAGGTGAGGTGTTGATAAAAAGATGGATCTCAGACCCTCTGGACTGGGGAGATAGTAGTAAGGACCCGTGCCTGTGGGAGGTCTGGATTCAAATCCCCAGCACTGCATGGTCTCCCCACCCTGAGAGCTGAGAAACCCCCAGGAGCAGACCGAAAATAAAAATAAAGCCTCCTGTTCTGTGAGTCTGGGAGGTGTTGGGGTCGTCAGGGTAGGAAGTAGGCTTAGTCTGTTAGGGTCTCTGTCGTGGGGACAGGTGGGGGTTGTCTGTGAAAGTAGGATGTTTTTGCAGATCTCAGAAAACCCCACCTGGCTAAACCTTGGTTGTTGGCCTTCCACCAAGAATCAGAGACGTTGGCCTGTGTGGGAGCTGCCCAGGGAGCACTGCCTGCCTCACTCCGGAGGCCATGCTGGGAGAGGAACAGTGCAGGTCAGCGGGAGGCCACATTTCCTCCCTGTCTAGTGCAGTTTCCTGACCCTTGGGAGCTGGCCACCACACACCCGAGGTCTGGAGTGGTTTCTCGTGGGGTTTGCTCTCAGAGGCACTAGTTCCTTTTGCAGACTGTCTATATCAGTGTTTCTCACCTTTTCCCTGACCATGACTCGGTTCCGATCTTATCTTCTTCATGTGGAAAGAACTTCCCTGACCCCTCATCCTAATGGTTGACCCCTTAGTCTCATGCTTTGACTCCCAACACCCGCTTAAGAAATTTTAACCTGTGACCACCTTGGAATATTCTGTGACCCTCCCCCTCCCCCCACACCACCACCACCACTGGCGGGTCATATGTAGCCATGTTGCTCTTGGCTGTGAAACTTTGGTCTAAAGGTTGGAAGAGAAATGGGTACTGTGGAAAACACATGCACTCTGGAGCTGGAAAAACCTATGTTTGCATTTTGCTAAAGTTACTGAATCTTTCTGAGTCTCCCTTTGTTCATTTCCTTAAATATATAATGAAGTCTTCTTACGACCACGCACTGTAGGGGCACCAGGAACTACATAAGGAGAGCAGAATCTCTCCTTGAGGAAGCACAGCAAGCATCCTGACTGCTATCCACTTACTCTGTCCAGTATCCAGATAGGCAGGAAGGGGAAGTGGCCGGTTCTATGAGGGAGAAGGGGCCTCAGTTGGAAGAGACTCCCGGAGAGGAAGTCTTTTTTTTTTTTTTCCAATACATCCGGCTGTGCTAATGGCTGTTCCCAGTGGTGCTCAGGGGACCATGTGGTGCTGGGAATTGAATCT